TTCGTAAAATTAAAATAAAATCAGCGGGCCACATAGATTAGTGCTATGTGTGCGAAGCCTATATGTAGCAGTAGATTGGAATAGGCTAATGATGATATTGAGTTTAGAAAAAAATATACAGCTGAATATTCGAGGTATCCTTATTAACATTGTACATGTGCGTGAAAGTATTTGTTTATCTATTTAATACCACTTGGTGCCTTAACGGTTTAATCAATTATCATAAAATTTTGTAAGTAGCGACCTGTACGGGCAAACGCAGTGTAGGACAACTCCTCACTAGACGGAGTGACGATTTTAAATGCATTGGGAGTTAGTGGATGCAGATGTATCAGAACTGTCACTTATGGCAGTCTTTGGAGGAAGTCTATGTTCAGCAATCCACAGATAATGGCTAGATCATGATGATGATGATGATATAGAGTACTATATATACCCGTTAATTAACATATCTCGGTCACGCAGACGAAGTCGCGGGTAATATGGTAATAAGAACATAATTTTTCGACTTGGGAATCAAACGCAAGGCCACAATATCAAAACCAGTACTCGAGGTACCACATCAATCAGGAGATTAATTTATGTGATTAGAATTCATTAACAATCGATTTAAATAAAGTGTCCGATGATTACATGTAGGTATATCTTGAATCATCTATCAGTGTCATTGTTGATAGCAAATTAATTTTGTTTTATTTTTCAAACGTTTGGTGTTAAATTTCAACCACCCTTCAGTTTAAGATAGAAAGAATTAATAAAAAGAGAAATCACCAATCGATTTATTGATTTTTTTAGTCAAATTTTATTACTATTATAAAAGCAAAAATTTGTGAGTATGTACGGATAAAATTTTTATTTCTTTTTTACGCAATTTATTTCTTTGTCACTTACCATCAGGTGCGCTGCATGGTAGATTGTCTATTGTGTTATATATATAAAAAAAAAACGCAAAAATTATTATAAAAATTTAAATGAAATTTGGTAAATAAGATATTCATGTGAGCGAAGTTACAGTTAGTATTATGTCCGATAATTATATATAATGGTTATTGGAATTTCAATATATATATATGTAATATATTTACCTACATATAAAAGTATAGATTTATACTACATCAATATATTAAGTGTTACTATATATTTTCTCTAAATTATGTAGCGCCTACTCATTTCTCGGTTTGCCCAAGGGTTGACTAGTAGAGAACACCGTCCGGTATTAAGTCCGTCAAATGTATATAGAATTTTACTGTGCATTAAAATTTAAACAAATAAAAAAAAAAATTACTCTCAGGTTACATTTTTAGCAATGGGGACTATTTTTTTATACTACGTAAAATGGCAAACAAATTGACGGTCCATCTGATGTAAAGTGGTAACCGTCGTCTATAGACATGAGCAGTACCATGGACATAACAGAGTATACTGTTTCGCCTATGATATTCCCCATGCGTTGCGACTAGCGACTGGGGACGCTCCTTTACTAATAATCTGTTTTTTTCTTGAGTTTAAAGCTGATAAAATTATTGCAATCATTTACTTCACAATAATTATGCCATTTTTTCAAGGTTGTTTCCCAATTTAGAACTTGCTACTGAAATTTTTAAGATAAAAATAATTCATTTAGCACTTTATTTGTGACAAAAACGAAACGAGAACAAACATGCAAGATCATTATTCCTTCTTTGCTCTTATTTTCATAAAAATGTTTCCGTAAACAAGATCTTGTTACGTTCTATAATAACTTGGAGCTTTTTAAATATAACCCGTCCCAAATGAGACGTCAATGAACTTCATGACGATGGCATTTTTTAACCGACTTCAAAAGGAAGGAGGTTCTCAATTCGAATGTATTTTTTATGTTTGTAACCTTGTAACTCGATCAGTTTTAAACAGATTCGGAAAATTCTTTTTTATCGGAAAGAAAATACTAACATATCGATCCCATGGAAATTGTATCTAAATCGATTTAATAGTAAAGTTTTTAAATAAATAACTGGTTTTGCCACAATTGAAATAGTTTTTTTAATGGAACAATAACTTAAAAAAAGTTATTGTACTATAGATATAGTTTTTAATCAAGGGATGAAGTGTCGACTAATATGGACTATAAGATATCATATATAGTTCTAATATATACAAATCCTCTGATGATTCACTAGTTTCTGAAACAGCTCAAATGATTTTAAGGAAATTGTATAAATGTATATTGTTTATTCCAACATTAGAGGTAGGATAGTTTTATCTCCGATAGAGAAAAATGGATCTCGTAAGTGTTAGTACAGACAAAACAATAATTGCCAGATCGATTAGTACTCGTATTATATAAATATGATGAATATAAATGAAGATTGTGTTCTACAAATAAAAAAAAAAAAGATTTCAATTGTAATGAAATCTGTTATTTTGGTTTAAAAATTAAACTAGTCAACCGATTTTGATAAAGTTTTTGTAGGATCAATTTGAAAGTATATCCTTTAAAAGAGAATTTTCGATATCGATTTATAACTGTCGAAGTTGTAACGTAACAAACATAAAAATACCATCGAATTGAGAACTTCTTTTATTATTCTAAAATCGGTTAAAAATTACATAAGCCTCCTATAAGTTTTCATTGTGGATATTAGCTTCCAACTTCGATGAAACGCAAAAATATAACAACCGTAAATAATATATAATTATGCTTATTTACAGATGTTTAGATCTATTTTTAACGTGCCACCTGCCCTTATTACCCATCTATTTATTCTTTTATTCATTCTAACCAAAAGTTGTTTGGAAGAGATTGCTTAGCAATAAGACCGCCTTTTGTATTGTACTATACTTATAGAAAATTCTTCAACAAGTCCTGTATATTGGTGCAATAAAGTATTAAATAATAATAATAAAACCATAGAGTATAACAACAAATAATGAAAGAGAAAAAAGAATAAAGAAGCTGGTGTTTAAGCGCGGCTATTATTTATTCCGATGACCGAGATCTGACAATGTTTTTTTTTGTGACGCGCCGCGACGACTGCACGTGATTGCTACACATATAGATATTTTCTCAATCTTATTTTTCTAAGTAATATATGTACATAATTATTAGTCTTCTAATAATAGATTTGTTTATATTTTTATTTTGCAAAATTACTAAATATTGTTTACAAAATAAAGATTAACAGTCATTGAGTGAATGGTTGAGTGAAGAGAACATTTAATATCAGTATGTTTGATAGACAAGGACATATAGAATGTCAGACTTTGCTTCACATGGGATCTCAAAACAATTTAAGAAATGCTTATCTGATATTAGTTTTAATATTAAATAGTTTCTATACAATCTTACTTTTAATATTTTTTTTATTTATACAACTTAGAATGGCAAACAAGCTGACGGCCCACCTGATGGAAAGTGGTAACCGTCGCCTATAGACATGAGCAATACCATGGATATAACAGATATATTGTTTCACCCATGATACCCCCTATGCGTTGCCATTCCTGAGGACTCAAGTGTTATTCCTCTGTACCCAGTAAATTCACGCCATATCCCACCCTTAAAACCGAAACACAGCTATGCAAACACAACTGCTTCACGGTTGAAACACGAATGGGACAGAGGTATCCAAGCAATCGACTTTTGTACAAAGTCTCCTTACTAACTTTAAATTACCTGGAAAACAGTCATTTTTGGTTCTGTTATTAAAGCGTCACAACGGATTTTTTACAATTTACTTATGTATCATATGCAATTGAAACAAATTGCTTACTTCCTCTACATTCATCAATCTATTCATACATGCTTGCCAGTTATGGGTACTTTTAATTTCGCCCTTCTTCAGCATATCACTGTCGTCAATTTTGTTGACGTACAAGAAAAGAGCATAATTATTTTTGCTTACAATTCTTCTGGTGTTGTGTTCATGGGCGGCGATAGTCACATACTATTAGTAAGTCTCATGCTCGTTTGCCCTCTGTGTTAGAAAAAAAACATACATCTAGAACTGTCCCCACCGACATCTACGATCTAAAAAATTGTGACACAGTATATAATTTAGAGTGATATACTATGAAAATTACAAATTAAATTTCAATATTTATGAGATTCTATGAAAACATTTTAGAAATAATTAGACGTCATTAAGAATTCGCTTCTAAAATAAATATTTGCCAGTTTATATGCCATTAAAATTAAATTATCTTTATGAAGCTTATAACCAAAATTAAATGTCTCGCGCAGGACAGGCTTAGTCCTATTTTTCCAAAGGAAAGAAAACTTTAAAAGAAGTTAAATCTTCACAGAAATATAAACAAGCAATTCGTAAATAATGATTTATTTATTTATGTTATATAATGTTTCTGTTAACGTCCCTCCCCCTCCCTCTTTTAATATTAGAGCACTATCATCATGCGAATAGTTGCGATTAGGTGTGTAGGTACTCTATATTTTGATTAGAAAATATATATCTAAGGCCAAACCTAAATTAAGATCAAGTCTGAATTGATTGAATGTAAAATTAACAGAACAAAATAATTTTTTTACTTATACATTAGTAACTGTTTATGTCTATTTGTGATAGTTACCATTGATGTAACAAAAAAGCATACGATTCACTTGATGGTAAACGGTTACAGTAGCCTATAAACGCCTGCAATACCAAGGATATTTAATGCGCGTTCCTTACTCTGAAGAAATCTCCTAAGATTTGTTTTAATTTTGAACAAAAATATCTTATAACGTCTATCTATCTAGCAATGTTGTAACAAAGGGTCCAAATTCACATTTAAGCATTAATTATACTATGTTTGCATACATAATTAAAAAATTAATTAACGAAATGGAAAGGCTAGTGAGGCCGTAAATAACGTGACAGACTGTCGAGAACCTATGTCGTAAATAACTTATTTTTTACAAATTGAATTCGGTTGACCTTTGAAAAAGCTGCGAAAAAGTCGCAATTGCGATGTGCGATCAGCTTATCCGTGGTACCTGTTATCAGGCAACTCTAGGTGGTGCGCGCGCGCAGACGAACAGTAGATGTTCGCGCGTCGTCAGGAGGGCACATCCGTTAGCAGACGCTAGCGCCGCGACTGTGAATTGTGGATAAACATTGCGAGTGCATAATCATAATATTAAGATAAGCCTCTGGAGTTAACGGAGCCCGGAGGTTAAAAAAGGGTGCGTTTGTGTTTTGTTTTACATGTTTACATATTTAAGTTTAAATGTTATTGATATAATGTCGGTTTAAGTAAGTAAGCTTAGTTTAAGGTATATGACTTTATTTAGACGATATAGCTCAATATTATGATTCAATTTTTTTTTTTGCACGAATGTGTAATGGGTAAGCAGTCACGCTATTCTTCAGTTTGTAATTTTTCGACATTCTATTTTATGCAATCTTGCTTCATAACATTATTAGGCATACAAAAAATGTACATATGGAAATTTGATTAGCTAGACGGCTAAATGTTCAAAAATTATATAACTATATTAATTACACGAGGGTATGCTTTCTCTGCACAATAAGACAAATGCAAACCCGGTGTCCGTGAAGAATAATTTTCAGACATCATAGTACGTTGCATATTTGTTGAATATTTAACATTTCATTATAGGACACGTAGGATTAGTTGCCAAGTAGCTATAAATAAAGTGTATCGAGTATACATTGGACTTAAACATATTACATATGTATTTGTATAGAGCTGTAGTCGGATACATTGGGGCCAATGAAGTATTATTTTTGTATCTCTGTTTGTAAAACAATTCAGTTTCAGTAAAATTACTATTCTAAAAATCAGTGTAATAATGTAAATTATAATAGAATTGAGTTTTTTTTTCTGAGTTATAACATAATAAGTAATGCTGTAAAGCCCCTTTTGTGTCTATAATAAAGTATGTTCTGAGAGATTACTTGATTTAATATCTTTAGCGACCATCACGCTGCTCGCTATTGACAAGACGTTCACCTCCATATCTTAAAATCTAGGTGGTTGCGTACAGCACGGCTTCAGAGGATCCTTTTCTTGTGGAGGTTTAGGTCGTTTAATAAGTTCCCTGAGGAGGTTCTCTCAAAAGATTAGAAGGTAGTTTTTTTTTAAAAAAGCAAATAATAATTTTCTATACTTGGCAATACACATGCAATGATTCTCATATTCCAGTTCATACACACACGTTTGGTTCTCAACTCAGGAGTATAAAAAAATATTAGTTTTAAGAATTAGGCCTCAAATTGACCCTATTGTCACTTCTATAAATTTTATACTAAGAGTGTTTATTTCTGTACATCACTTGTCAAAATTCAAACATAAACAATTTTACATATTTCTCAACTATAAAAGTGCTCTTGTATCTACAACTTGAATCATGCAATAAGATAAATGTTAAACTGTCACTTAAATTTTAGAATTCGATTATAAATGTGTAATCAATTATAAACAAATGTATTTACATACATATATGTATATATTATCTATATAAATAAAATTAAGTAGAGTTTCCTGTTAAGTGTATAATTTGAGCATATTTTGACTGAACTGCTTTGGCAATTTTTTTAGTGTTATAATAGATGATTAAGTAATATTTAGGGGAAGAATGATCCAAATAGGCTTATGCCCAAAAAGTATTTGTAGATTCTGTCATAATGAACAGGAAACGCCGCAACACTTAATTTGTGGCTGTAGCCCACTTATACATAAACGATATATCTCCTTTGGAAAATGAATTAAATTATTTAAAAATTCTTATCATTGATTAGCAGAGAACTTTAAAAAGGGCGAGCACAAAAGAGCATGGAAAGGTCGTCTTTCAATAATAATAATAAAAGGGGATTAAAATCAAATTAAATTTGGAATATAATAATTAATAAATTGTTAATAAATATTAATGAATTAAATAATTAATAAATGTAATTAATAAATTGGTAACATGTTCATATTGTACTTTTATTGTACTGTAGTGTTATAGCGCGAAGTAGCTGTATCCGTATACCAGTGTTTTAATATCAAGGATGAGATATATATAGCAATGAAATAACAGGATATAAAGACATAACATCTTAGTCTTAGGGGCCATTTACGCGTCACAGTGTACTAAAATATACCGGGTTACCAGTAGGTTAGTAGGTAGATAGGTTAACCATAAGGTAGGTCGTTGTTTTGTTTAGTATTCTATATTGTATGAATATAAAGATGCAGGCAGTTTAATAGAAGATATAATATTAAAATGATAATATTTTAAACATAAATCAGTGATTTTATATCATTGGCATAATTAAAAATGAGAATCAGACAAATTCCTGACATGTGACATTTCATTTATATCTTAACAAGATATATTAGAGAAGGTCAGGTGATTAGTCGTAATTAAAATTAGACCAGATTTTTCATCCAGTTATTTCTCTCTATTAACATTTATTTTTATCTAGATTTTATACAATTTAATATTTTAATATGTTATTTTGCTCTGATGTATGGCAATGAGCTACCATTAATGGATATTAATGTTAGCTAAATATATTATATTATATAGTTAAATATAATTTATTATTATTTGTGTTGAATACAATGTTATTTCTTTTGCAAAACAAAATGACTTATTTAATAGAAAATATTATTATTAGTCTGAAGGATAATTAAACTGTGCGCAACATTACATACCTGACGATAGCAAAAACTACGAACGATTAATTAAAGCTACTAATTACTTATAAATACAGGATAATCGTATGTGATAGATACTAGTTGTACCCGCGATATCTTCTGTGTAGTAGTTAAAGGTAATTCTTATAAATACGAATAATATATTATATATATTGTTAAGTTTAAGTTCAAAGAAAAAGGAATTATGTTCGAACGCATTGTTTCTACCTGACCTAATGAGAGACAAGCGTAATAGATACATATGTACGTAACACCATCTAGGGGATTTTTTATAAACATAACCAATAACCTACCAAGATTGTACACTAGTGGAGTAATCTCATATTTTGTTTGTCAAATTCAGATAGAACATACACCAGCTTTTCAATTGCACTAATATCTGATCGATTATATATTTTTTTTTGTAATCCGTTCAGTTATTTTTTCGTGATGATACGACAAACATACGAAGATTTTTATTGATTTTAGGCCTCTTCAACTAATATTCGCAAAAAAATTTAAAAACTTTTTTACCCTTACTATTTCATATTGGTGTAAATACGAGTATCATATGAGAAATTAGTTCTTTTTAATATAAAATTTTGCTTAGTATTGAAAACAATATTATGATTTGGAAGGACATATAAATTGTATATGACATATATCGGATGATAGCAAAAAATACGAACGATTATTAAATCATCTAACCGCTTGTAAAGACAGAGCCATGGCTACCGATGCGTGGCGCCACCGGACAGCGTGATATTATCTAATAACTGCCTAATATGATTAAATTGGCATACAATTTACTATTAACAATTACAATATACTAGATATACCCCGCGACTTCGTCCTCGCGAATCAGTAAAAGTATCTTAAATGTTATGTTAGAAATAAATTATTCATGTAACAAATTTCATTTAAAACCGTGTACTAGTTTTTGCATGAGAGAGTAACAAATATCCATTCATATCTAGTGACAAATTTTTATTTTTAATAATAGTAGAAAGATCTTTGATGCTATTTTGTATTTGATGCGTTTTAATTTGTTTATATTTTTTCGAACCATATCTATATTTAAGCTATCAGTATCTTTTAAGATCAATGTTTTATACTACGAAACACTAATTTTACTAGAAAATAAACATTTTTATCAATGAAACAAGAGTAAAAAAATTGGAAATATCTCATTTAATAGTTAGACAAGCTAAACGCGTTATGTTAATATGGCAGCTTTAAATTTTTTGTTCAATACCACCAATTCTTATACATAGATATTACTTAAAGTCTGTACTTAAATGCTTAAAGTAAGTTTGTTCGCTTATAAGTTTCTGATACCATAACAACTAAACACATTAGTAACTCATTAGTCGATGACCAAATTTGGTATACACGTATATTTGGATGGAAAAAGTAGGTATTTGTCCACCTTTTATTTTGGTTAATAAATCCATAAAAATTGATATCCTGGCAGCCTTCCTAATATTATAAATAAAAAAGTAGGTTTCTTCGTTTATTAGCTCTCAGTGCCTTAACGGCTAAATCAATCACTGTAAAATTTGCTATACACGTACTACATAAAATGAGAAAGAAGAAAGACTTTATCCCGGTTAGTCAATATATTCCAGTCACGCGGATGAAGTCACAAGTTAGTAAAAAAAGGGGGTATCATGAGCATAACAGTATACTCTGTTATGTCCATGGTACTGCTCACGTCTATAGGCGACGGTTACCACTTTCCATCAGGTGGGCCGTCAGCTTGTTTGCCATTCTAAGTTGTATAAAAAAAAGTAAAATAATTTCAGGTTTTCTATTAGAATACTTTCATAAAATTATGCCAGTGTTTTCAAAGACAATGAAAATTCAACGGTGCAAGGTCGCAGCTCGTTTACTATTATAGTTCTACCGGATTTTCTTTAGCGTGCATTCAAGAATGAAACGTTATAATTGTTTAATTTACGTTCTTTTTTTTTCTTTATTGCTTATTTACTAACACTAGAAAACAATGATATATTAATAATTGTTTTCAATTTTTATTTCCTATCACCATTTTTACTTACTGGTGATAAATACAAAATATTCATTATTATTTATGATTTAGGTAATTCGTGGTAATAATAATCCAGTGAACAAAGAAATAAATTAATTGATTAAATAATATCAATTTAATTTTATAAAAACAATGTAACATATGCTTGTGTGTAAACAGTGCATGTGCAATATACTATATTCTAACACAAATGTGAGGGGGGAAAGGGATTGTTAGCAATGGAGTTTGACAGCCCCATTGCTAACAATATGCCTTATTACGTCGACCTCCATGTAGTTCCCCCTGGAAACCATGGTGAACAATTCTTATTGAATTCGTCACGATGGGCTAACTGACCTACTTCATCCTCACCTATGATCCTTCACTGGTGCCCCGCCGGTGTATACGAGGTTTGTCCGGAAAGTACGTATAAAAGTTTTTTAAAAATTTTATTTTACAATTATTCAGGTAAATCAATTTTATCCCCTTCAAAGTACTCCCCCTGTGAC